ATAGATAGATAGATAGATAGATAGATAGATAGATAGATAGATAGATAAATGGGAAAGATGAGAGAGATTCCCTCCTTTAAGACACCTCTGGCTTGTTGGGCCAATTATTGGTTGGATTGTTGGACTTTCCCTCAATCTTTGTTCCCTCTTTACCTCTGCCTTTCTTTTTTTTTAATTAATTAATTTTTTTATTATTAGTTACATTTTATTAACTCTGTATCACAGCTGTATCCTGTTCCCTTATTCCCTCCCAATCCCACCCTCTCTCCCTCATATTCTCCCTGCCTCTTTCCAAGTCCACTAATTGGGGAGGACCTCCTCCCCTTTCATCTGACCCTGTTTTATCAGGTATCTTCAGGACTGGCTGCAAAGTCCTCCTCTGAGGCCTGGCAGGACTGTTCCTCCCTTTGGGGGTGGGAAGGTCAAAGAGCCTGTCATTGAGTTCCTGTCAGAAATAGTCCCTGTTCCTCTTACTATGGGAAACTAATTGGTTACTGAGCTACCATGGGCTTCATCTAAGCAGAGGTTCTAGGTTATATCCATACATGGTCCTTGGTGGAATGTAAACTAGTACAACCGCTTTGGAAGTCAATATGGCACTTTCTCAGACAATTAGGAATAGCGCTTCCTCAAGATCCAGCTATACTACTCCTAGGCATATACCCAAAATTTGCTCAAGTACACAACAAGGACATTTGCTCAATAATGTTTATAGCAGCTTTATTTGTAATAGCCAGAAGCTGGAAACAACCCAGATGTCCCTCAACGGAGGAATGGATACAGAAATTGTGGTATTTTTACACAATGGAATACTACTCAGCAATCAAAAACGAGGAAATCATGAAATTTGCAGGCAAATGGTGGGATTAGAAAAGATCATTCTGAGTGAGGTATCCCAGAAGGAGAAAGACACACATGGTATATACTCATATAGTCCTATAAGATATGATAAACATAATGAAATCTATACACCTAAAGAAGATAAACAAGAAAGAGGACCCAGGGTCAGATGATCAATCCTCACTTAGAAAGACAAATGGGAGGTGCATTGTATTTAGGAGAAAACAAGTAACAGGACAGGAGCCTACCGTAGAGGGCCCCTGAAAGACTCTACCTAGCAGTGTATCAAGGCAGATACTAAGACTCATAACCAGACCTTTGGCAGAGTGCAGGGAACCATATGAAAGGGGGAGTTTGTATGGCATGGAAAGGATAGGAGCTCCACAAGGACCAAATATATCTGGGCACAGGGGTCTTTTCTGAGACCTCTGCATTTCTTATAGGCAGGGGAATTTATGGATCACAGGTTTTGTCGGTGAGTTGTTGTTCCCCTCCTTCCAATAATACTGCCTTGGCTAGGAGGTGGCCACTTCAGTCTTCATGTTTACACCTGTTAGAGGAGTCTCAGCTAGAGACACATCCATGTCCTCCCAGAAGGAGAGGGGGAGAGGACACCCTTGGGGTGTAAAATAAAGAAAATAAAAATAAATTTTAAAAAAGTTACTGAATAATTAAAAAAAAAAAAAAGGTAATTCTAGCTTCTTCCAAACTGACATAAAACCAGGCAGCACAAACCACTAGGAATCCAATCCCATCATACTGTGAGGAGACATCTAGACTGGGTTAACTGAGGGGGACCCACCTTACTGTGTCATTCTCCAGGCACCAACACCTTCATCTACTTACTTACTATTTTCATTCATTTATTCACTCATTCAGTTATTATTTATGTAAAAAAACTAGGTTTCTCACTGGTCTGAAACTCAGAGCAGGCTGGTTGCTGGCTAGCCAATGATTCCAAGGATCACCGTGCCTGTGCACAGGAACTGCAAGCGTGCACCACCATGCCCACTTTTCTTTACGTGGGTTCAAGGGATCAGGTCCTTGCAAGAATTTTACTTACCAAACGATCTCCTCAGCCCAATATTTGCTTTTCAAATAAGAAGAATATGCCCTAAAATCACTGGTTAAAAAACAAACAAAAAAAGCAAACAAACAAACAGAAAAAACTTTTATATGTTCCTGCCGCCAGGGTAAGAGACAGTCAGAAAAATCACCTAAACACCACCTCCCTACAAACATGGACCACTGCATGTCAAATATGCTTTAGTATTGAAGGGGTTTTTTTGTGTGTGGATAAGTTATATTATTTATTACTTTATTACTGTTTTGGGGGGGCTTTGATTGGTTTTCTTGTTTGTTTGTTTTATGTTTGTTTTAGACAGTGTTCACTCAGCATGTAGCCCTATCTAGCCTGGAATTCAGTATATAGACCAGGCTGGCCTTGAACTCATAGAAATCTGCCTTCAGGATTCCCCCAGGAATCCATGTGCTGGAAGGCTTGATCTCAGCATAATGCTATTGGAAAGCCTTTAGGAATCGGGTTCTAAAGGGGTGTCTTTAAGTCACCATGGGCACAGCCCTAGAGAGTACTGTGGGGTGTCGGGTGTTTCCTCCTCTTCTAAGCAGTTCTGTTCTACCACACACTCCCCCACTACTGCCAGCTAGTCCCCTGAGCAGGCCTGAAAGCAACCTGGATCACTAGAAACTTTTAAAACAATGTGCCAAAGCAAACCTTTTGTCTTTCAAACCGGGCTGTCTGAGAAACTTCCCTTGGAGAGCTGAATTACAGAAGCTCTCCACTGAGTAACCAGGACAGCCCAAAGCACAGAAGCAACACTGATGACTGCCTCATCTCACCCTTCTCCATTAGTCTCCTCCACACCATGTCTCTTCTCGTCCATCCCACCTTCTGAGGAATACTGATCATTATAAATTTCTCATATTTACCTCTGCCCCCCCCCCACTTTTCACACAAAAATACAAGTTTAACGCTTTAAGCCATGTTTTAATGATGCACTTATAACGAACTGTGTTGACTCAGCCAAAGAAATAGATACAAACCTGTATGCCAGTATGTGTGCAGGCTAATTTTGTAAATTCAATACATCTGCCGTCATTCACGTCCCACAGGTACATCTCTCTAGAAGACAAAGTAACAGCTCACTCTGAATCTAATTTACAAAAGCAACCTTGTCACAGTGGCTTAGAGGGAAGCTTCCAATGAAACTAATGTATTACAGGAAGGAAAGTAGCTTATATTCATTATTCTATTGATCAAATTTTCCATTCCTCTCACTCACTATTCTAACCCCAATTCCAACCTGTCAACACCCCACTTCAGTCTCCATCCTTCTTAGAGGAGAAATGCATTCCTGACTCCTCACTGGTTGTTAGTCTTGTGAGCAGTTCTGGGCAAAACTTAAACCCAGTGAGGCTGTCCAGAGAGTTCCCTTTCCTCTGCAGATGCTCCTCATATGTGGCTGCTTCAACTACCAGTTGTTCCCCCATCCTGAAGCCCAAAGTTAGGATAATAAAAAAACAGAGCCAACCTGGAAGTAATGCAAAGACTGTGTGATAACCCGAAGAGATAAAGCTGAAATCTAAAGGTCTGAGAGCCTAGGGCTGGCGTCAAATGTATCCTGCACATGCAGCCCTGCAAACACACACCAGCTAAGGCCAACAGAGTCCCAAATGTTAACCCAGCAATACAGCTCTCATCTGTATTAGTTTTACAAGAATACCAACAAAATCCTCATATTTCAAACTAAAAATTAAAAATAACAATATGCCTTGTCTTTTTTTAAAAAGTAAGGTTTATTTAACAGAAAATACTAGCAAGATATAATAAAATTTACTAGTTTTTATTTTGATATCATTGTTACATCTTAAGGAATGTAAAAATATTTGTTTTGGTAGTTGTTTTTTGAGGCATAGTCTTGCTATGTAGTCCCTGTTGGCATGGAATTTACTATGTATTAGAGATCATGCCAGCCTCTAAATTGCAGCAATCCTCCTGCCTCTCCTTCTCGAGTGCTGGGATTACAAGTGTGCTAGGCACACACCACCATGCCTTGCTGAAACAATTTTTCAATCAATTTCATCTTAAAACAAATGTCCCAGCCAGGCGTGGTGGTGCAAGCCTTTTATCCCAGCACTCGGGAGGCAGAGGCAGATGGATCTTGCGTTCAAAGCCAGCTTGGTCTACAAAGCGAATCCAGGACAGCCAGGGATACACAGAAAAACTATCTTGAAAAACAAAACAGGAGGGAAGAAGAGAGGAAGAGAGAGAAAGAGAGAGAGAGAGAGGACCAAAAATTTGTTCCAATGCAAATTATCTTTTAAAAGTTTAATTCCAACCCTAATATTATAGAAGGGGAAAAAGATGTCTTACATGCATTTCTATAAATTCTCCAATTTGTTTTAAAAGAATCAAAACTGTTTTTAAGGTTCTTCCCACTCTGGCCCTACGAAGACTCTGTTCAGTTCTCTGCCTCTGCAGCACACGGCATGCTATGAGACAGGGAAACTGGCTGCAGCAACACATGGGCACCAGCATCACAAGAGCAGAACCTTGGGGGAGGTCCACCTCCCAACCTGTGACAGCCTGAAATCACTTGACATTCTTAAAAGCCCCGATGTTGCCCGCTGATTCAATTAAAATGCCAGGAAAACTAATGATTATGCTTTTACTTTCATGATAAGCTGAGTTTTTCAAAGACAAAAAAAGAAAATACAGTATTACAAAAAAATCAATTGTGAAAAACATATATCCTTAAAACTATAACTCAAGCATCATCCTTTAGATTTAGAAGTGCAAGAAAAATACTACAATAAACTGGTGCTAGTTTAAAGCACGAAATACAAATGTCACATGCTAATCTATGAATACATTTTTTGGATTTATTTTTATTTTTTACCTATGTTTTCATGTGTGAGTCTCTGTGGGTGGTACAATGTGCACGTGGGTGCCCACAGAGGCCAGAAGAGGTTGTTGGACCTCTGAGCTGAACTCAAAGGTGCTTATGAGTTGCTGAACATGGGTTCTAGGAACTAAATCCAGGTCCTCTAGAAGAGCTGTCAGTGTTCTTCAACTCTGAGCCATCTCTTCAGCCCTTATAAACACAGTTTTTAACTGACAAATAAAAAACTACATTTGTTTTTGTTTTGTTTTGTTTTGTTTTGTTTTGTTTTGTTTGAAGCAGGATCTCACTGTAGAGCCATGGCTAGCCAGGAGTTTTCTATGTATATCCCACTGGCCTCAAACTCAGAGATCTACCTGCCTCTGCCTCCTAAGTGCTAGGATTATAGGTGTACACCCCAACACTCAGCCAAAATCCACATTTTTTTTTTCTAGACATGAAAATTTAGCGGTGGGAGAAGCCTGACCAAAAACTGAAAATGAAAAACGGACCCTCACTTACCCATTTGCAGATGCACTCACGGTGTACTGTTTGTCTCCAGGAGCACAGGCTTTGGACAAGCAAGTGATCGATGCTGTGTGACCAAACAGCAGTGCCCGGGGATTAACCTAGAGAAGCAAAAGCATGCCGCTGTAAACAGCAAACTAAAAAGTTAACCATGGGGCTGGAGCAACAGCACAGGCCATTCTTTCAGGTGACCCAAGTCTGGCTCATAACCATGTAACTCCAGCTTCGAGTCTCTGTGAACATCCAGCAGCAAGTGCACAAACACACATGGACATGAATAAATAATTTTAACCTAACCTTTTAATCAGTAACCATGTTAAGTATTCAATATCAATATATAGACACAAATTGAAAGAAATCATTACCAGAACACTGAAAAGTAAGGGCAGCAAACAGTGAACCGTGTAATGTTCGAGTAATTATTGATATATTTAAAACATACAGCAGCCATTTTCAAATACTCACTTCCAGTTCTTCTGAAAGATCCCAGAGACATATTTGTCCATCATGGCATCCAGTTACAATTGTGCCTCCATCATCCGTTAACAGGATTGATGAAATACAATGGGTGGGTGCTTTGCGGCCCCAAAGAACAATGGGCAGAACTAGACTGTTTCCTGCCATTGTGTTTTCAAGCCTGAAAATGTAACAATAAAGTCAGATGTCATGTTCTTCCTAAAACATACTATATGCCTTTATTATGAAGTCAACTTGTATAATTTGAAAATAAGTATATTTTCCAAATATCAAAATTTAGTCACTTTAAATCTTCTCAAATAAAAATAGCTAATTTATCATATTCACTCTCAAATTCAGAGGCTTAAAAATTAGACAAAAGTATTTACTGGAGGCATTCACAATTTTTAAATTTTACTAAAATGAAAGCCTAGTAATTTCAATACACATTTATTTCTTTATTTATCACATCAATGTAGAGCAACTTTAAGTGCACTATTTTATTTCAAATCCTAAAACAGTCTTCCCAGCTTAAAAGACAAGAAAATTAGGGTTAAGCATTATCTGCCCTGAGGCAGAGAACTAGCAAGTCATGGCGCTCCAATCCAAGCCCTTTCTGCCTGGTTCTAAGTCATCTGACTCCACAAGTAAAATAACTAAATAAAAACAGATGTGCTTAGAAAATGCAGTGCACGGAAGACTATGCCACAACCACTGGCCAGAGAGCATAAAGCACTCTCAAGAGTCTGAGAACCCTTCTGAATGCGATGCGGATGTAAACATAAACACACTCCCTTTCAGTCATTGCTCGCATTGCATAGGGAAGTACTATGGCACTCTCTTTCTGGCAAGGGCACTAGGGCAGAGGCATGAAGTGACAAGTGATGGACCCCAGATGAGCACCAACCCCAGAATCTTCGGGCTCCCTTACTCTGTGCCACGGGGCACAGGAGAGTCTCAAACTCCACTAAGTTTCCAAAGTAGTATAAAATAATAATGTCCACCCAAAGCAAACACACAAAAATGTCTGTTTCACTGTGTGCTAAACACTGAATGAATACGCTTAATGAGAAACTCACTTAACCACATTTACTCCAAATGCCACATATGTCTTTTGTTGCATTGAAACCTGGAGGAAAAAATTAGTATCCCTTAAGCTATGGTTTCCAAATTAAAGTATGTTTCTGATGAGGAGCTTTAAATTAGAAATGATAATTAAACAGTGTATACTTCTGTATACCCCTTGCAGGAAAGCATGAACATAAGAAATCGTTTCATATAACAAAATTAAAATTTGCTTCTGAATCATTTAACTGCTATAACTATGGAGCTACAGACCTAAATCAATATGAGTTCAGAGAAGTTAGAATACAAGAATAAAATAATCAAAGAGAGCTCCACACAAAAGAACTCTGCCAGATCTGGAGCGTCCCGTTGCCTGACAAATGATCAAGCAAAAGAAATCATCTAAAAAGAAATTGAGCATAGATCCAAAAGATGCTCAAGTACACAACAAGGACATTTGTTCAACCATGTCCATAGCAGCTTTATTAAAAGGTATTAATAGTAATAGCCAGAAGCTAGAAACAACCCGGATGTCCCTCAATTGAGGAATGGATACAGAAATTGTGGTGCATTTACACAATGGAATACTACTCAGCAATTAAAAACAAGGAAAACATGAAATTCACAGGCAAATGGTGGGATCTAGGAAAGATCCTCCTGAGTGAGGTATCCCAGAAGCAGAAAGACACACACGGTATATACTCACTTATAAGTGGATATTAGACATAAAATATAGGATATCATACTAAAATCTGTAAACCTAAAGAAGCTAATCAAGAAGGAGTACGCTGGATAAGATGATCAATCTTCACTCAGAAAGACAAATGGGATGGACATTGGAAGAAAAAAAACAGGAAACAGAACAGGAGCCTTCCACAGAGGGCCTCTGAAAGACTCGACCCAGCAGTGTATCAAAGCAGATGCTGAGACTCATAACCAAACTTTGGGCAGAGTTCAGGAATCTTATGAAAGGGTGAGGGGACAGAAGCTCCACAAGGAGAACAACAGAAATAAAAAATCTGGGCACAGGGGTCTTTTCTAAGACTGATACTCCAACCAAGGACCATTCATTGATATAACCTAGAACGCCTGCTCAGATGTAGCCCACGGCAGCTCAGTCTCCAAGTGGGTTTTCTAGTAAGGGGAACAGGGACTGTCTCAGACATGAACTCAGTGGTGGGCTCTTTGATGGGCTAAGGCTCTTTGAGGGGGGAGCAGCCTTGCCAGGCCACAGAGGAAGACAATGCAGCCAATCCTGATGAGACCTGATAGACCAGGGTCAGATGAAAGGGGAGGAGGACCTCCCTATCAGTAGACTGGAGAAGGAGCATGGGAGGAGATAAGGAAGGGAGGGTAGGATTAGGAGAGAATGAGGGAGGGGGCTACAGCTGGGATACAAAGTGAATAAACTATAATTATTAAAAAATAAATCAAGGAGAGAAAAAAGGTATGAGGGACATTAAAATGCCTACCAAAAACAACCTATATAATACTTTTTATAATTTATTTAATTTTTATTTTATGTGCATAGTGTGAAGGTCTATTCTAAGATCCCTTGGAACTGGAGTTACAGACAGTTGTGACCTGCCATGTGGGTGCTGGGAATTGAACCCAGGTCCTTTGAAAGAGCAGACAGCACTCTCGACCACTAAGCCATCTCTCCAGCCCCTCTATATAATTTTTTTTTATTACAATGTATGGCTTTCATCAATCTATTTCTCCAAAAGACCTTTTCTTGTTACAAATAAAAGGTATACATTTAAAGAAAAAAACTCAAAAGACACTTCTTATTGATGGCCAACTGTCAGGCAGAGTGAATGGAATTTTATGTAAGAAGTGGGAAATAGTAAGAGCTGGAGAGGACAGGAACTCCACAAGGAGAGCAACAGAACAAGATAATTTGAACACAGGGAACTTCCCAGAGACTCATACTTCAACCAAGGACTATTAATGGAGATAACCTAGAACCCCTGCACAGATGTAGTCCATGGCAGTTCAGTGTCCAAGTGGGTTACATAGTAATGGGAAGAGGGACTGCCTCTGACATAATCTGATTGGCCTGCTCTTTGATCACCTCCCCTTGAGGGGGGAGCAGCCTTACCAGTCCACAGAAGAGGACAATGCAGCCACTTTTGATGAGAACTGATAGACTAAGATCAGAAAGGAGAGGAGAACCTCCCCTATCAGTGGACTTGGGGAGGGGCATGCATGCAGGAAGGGGAGGGAGGGTGGGATCTGGAGGGGAGGAGGGAGGGGCTTATGGGGGGATACAAAATGAATAAAGTGTAATTAATAAAAAAGTCTGTTTGTGTCATATCAGGTTCATAAGCTATCATGAGATTATAATTATTCCCATATTCCTATCGGACACTAGCAAGGAAAGCTAAACTCTGAACAGTGTGTTCCTGGAAACATGGAATCCTCAATAAAGACTTTCTGGAAAAAAGTATTTAGAAGGAGTTCATTTTTCCATCTTTGGACAGTGGGCATTTTCACAAAGGCACCAGTATCAGTTTGTGTACTTCCCGTGCACTAGGTAGGCCTCCTATTACTCAGAGACAATACAAACTCAAGTTCCCTCGTGAGAACAGGCATGTGTGAGGGTAGGCCCGACCTACTGCTCCACCATTGGGGAATACAGAAAGCAGGAAGTATCTAAGAGCTAAAGTACTTGCCACAGCACTAATGATAAATGTTTACAAAGGTTTACTTGGATTCTCAAAAGGCATTCCTACATTTCTTGTCAAAAGAATATGTCCAAGATCACTGTATTATTAGGTCATCAACAAAGTGGCCATTAGGATTATGGATTTTTGTGCCAGGCATGGTGGCACATGCCTAAAATCCTAGTGCTGGAAACACAGAAGGAGGGAGATTTCTGTGAGTTCAAGGCCAGCCTGTTCTTCAGTTCTTCCCAAGACAGCCAAAGCTATAAGGTAATACCTTCTTAAAAAAACAAACAAAAAAATAGACGATAATGAATTTTCTTTATTTCTATGCTCTGACTATCAATTTATTAAAGACTTTAAAAAACTAAAGAAGACAATGAAGAGACAACTAAGAAAATGCAGTGAAGAAATTCAGTACTCAGCTGAGTTCTTTACCAAGCATTTTAGGAATTAAGGAGCTAGGGAGATACAACCTTCTGACACCACCACACAGCTAACAAGGTCATACTTTCCTATTTGAAGGGCAAGAAATAATATTCTCGATGAGCTTGACATTTTAGAATTGCTCTATTGAAGATTTTCCAATATTCATATTCAAAAGGGTGTGTAGAATGAACAGATGGTAACACAGCAATATATGTATGTCTTATTACTGAAACAGCCCTAAACACATGAGTTATAGGTCCTGAAGAACTGCATGACTATCTTTTCAGAAATAAATCACAATGTTAAAAGTGACTTCCAGAGTTTGAGGCATATTGATTGTGTTTTTAATTTCTGCAGCTGCCATTAGCTGCCCACTTTTCTCACTGATACTCTATCCATCACTCATGTGCATCAACATTAGCAGGTACCGGTTTGCCAAAAGCACAACGTGCCCACCAGCTCTTACTCTGCAGCAGAAATAGATTCTGCTTAGCAGAATGAACCTCAGGTTTCTTGCCTTATCCCCCACCTTCCCTACATCTCCAATCATTTCTGCTATTTCCCTATCATCATTAAACTCTAGATTGAGCACTGAAACTTTACCTTATATAAACCAAAGTACCCAGAAGAAGAAACAACCAAGGTAGAAGTTAAAATGTCTCAATAATCAGATCAGTAAAATACACTGTATAGGTATGAAGGTATGAGCACCACGTTAGCTGGAGAAGAATCAGCTCTCCCACTGCCTGGCTCTAAACTCTGAGGATATATGAAACCTAATATAATATACATACTTATATTACTTACTTTCCTCTTTAGAGACTACAGACAGTGCTCTGCATAGCTACAAACTGTTCCTGACTAGGCCACCAAGCCCAGGCTAAACTAAGCTGAGGTCTTGTTCCTTACCTTAACTAATCTACCGGCAGTATATGACAGTTTCTAGTACAGCCTTGGACAGTCACTTCTTTACGTGGCCTCCACATCAGCATACTCTCCTGACTTTCTTCTATTTTCCTACTCTATTTCTCTATTTCTTCTTCTTCTTCTTCTTCTTCTTCTTCTTCTTCTTCTTCTTCTT